CAACAACAACAACAACAACAACAACGACAACAACAACAACAACGACAACGACAACGACAACGACAACGACAACGACAACGACAACAACAACAGCAGCAGCAGCAGCAAACACCAACACCAACACCAACGCTAACACTAACACTAACACTAACAATACGACTACTACTACGACTACGACTACGACTACGACTACTACTACTACTACTACTACTACTACTCCTCCTCCTCTTCCTCCTCCTCCTCCTACTCCTACTCCTACTCCTTACTCCTCCTACTCCTTACTCCTCCTACTCCTTACTCCTCCTACTCCTCCTACTCCTCCTACTCCTCCTACTTCTCCTACTCCTCCTACTCCTCCTACTCCTCCTACTCCTCCTACTCCTCCTACTCCTCCTACTCCTCCTACTCCTCCTCCTACTCCTCCTCCTACTCCTCCTACTCCTACTCCTACTCCTACTCTTACTCCTACTCCTACTGCTACTCCTACTGCTGTACTGCTGCTACTGCTGCTACTGCTGCTACTGCTGCTACTGCTGCTACTGCTATTGCTATTGCTACTGCCACTGCTACTGCTACGCCTAGGCCTACTCCTACTCCTACGCCTTCTCCTACTCCTACTCTTACTCGTAGTACTACAACTACTGCTGCTGCTACTGCTACTGTTCCTGCTCCTACTGCTGCTGCTGCTACTGCTACTCCTACGCCTTCTCCTGCTCTTACTCTACTACTACAACCGCAACAACCGCAACAACTGCAACCCCAACAACCCCGACAACCCCATCAACCCGGAATCAACCCCAACAACCCCAACAACCCCAACAGCCAGAACAACCGCAACAACCGCAACAACCGCAGCAACTACCAGAACCGCAAACAACAACCAACAACAACCTACAACCACCAACCATCACAACTACCACCACCACTATCATCAGCAGCAACAGTTTTTGAAAATGTATCGTTTCTCTGTAGGATCCACAAGCAATGTCAGGCTTCGTTTAGGCTTGTTTTCGGGGGCAATCCGGCCTTCACTGCCAAGCTGGCTGCAAAGCAGCAAACCAGCAGCAAGCAAAATGTATCCTTTTTCCAAGGGTCCAGAAGCAACAATAGGCTGTTTGTTTGGGCAGCAACCCGTCCTTCGCTGTTGTGGTGTTTGCCCATTTCGAAACCGATCGCATGGAAATATCTGTTCGCATGTCAACCCCAATATATATATATTATACCCACCAGCAGACCAAACCGGGTCTTACCAACTTGCCTGGCCTTGCGATGCAGGCGCTGTTCCACTGGGAGAAGCCCCACATGGCAAACTGACCCCAGGGGGCGACGCCTTTGGTGGCACTACGCCCACTGGAGGTGGTCGCGCCGCATCACCAAACAAGCTGGACACATCACCACCACTGCTAGGCATGGAAGCTTCTCCATTCCCGGATGGCTGAGCCACAGCCTCAAAGCAATTCCACAGCAATTATCTCCACTGAACATTTGAATCAGCTTGCATATTGCATCGGATCAAGCGTATACAAGCCCAGAGACCAAATACCCTCCAAGCTTGTGACTGGTGCTAGGTTCGAACTCGTGCTTTGGAACAAGCTGGTGCTGCCCAAAGGCCTGTGCAAAATGTCTTGCCACACAGTCTTCAGTCAAGGTGGAGCAACTGCTCGCGCCAACCATGAAGGATGAAAGAAGGCAGCAAAGGCATGCATGCTGGGTTAACCAATACCATTGAGATCCTTTGAGAATCGAACGCAGAAGGACCATTTGCAGTTGGATTTGTAGCTGCCATCTGGGCCTTGCAGTATGATTGAGCAAGCACATTAGGCTGCTTGGCTGTCAGAGTCTTGGGTCCCAGCGGGAGCAGCTGAGGCTGACGTAGCAGAAATGCCTTTCAAAACGGATGGATCAAAACAGCTTGAAAGGTTCGTTGAGGACGCAAATTCCAGCAAGAGAGTCTCAGGCAATGTGGAGTCCTTTTTTGTCATGTCCGTTCCAGTATGTCACGCATGCATTTACCACCAGTGGACAAAACGAGGTCTTACGCAGACCAACTTGTCTGGCCTTGTGGTTCTGCAGATGCAGGCGCCGGCACAGTGGGAGGAGCCCCAAAAGGCAAACTGACCCCAGGGGGCGACGCCTTTGGTGGCACTACGCCCACTGGAGGTGGTCGCGCCGCATCACCAAACAAGCTGGACACATCACCACCACTGCTAGGCATGGAAGCTTCTCCATTCCCGGATGGCTGAGCCACAGCCTCAAAGCAATTCCACAGCAATTATCTCCACTGAACATTTGAATCAGCTTGCATATTGCATCGGATCAAGCGTATACAAGCCCAGAGACCAAATACCCTCCAAGCTTGTGACTGGTGCTAGGTTCGAACTCGTGCTTGGGAACAAGCTGGTGCTGCCCAAAGGCCTGTGCAAAATGTCTTGCCACAGAGTCTTCAGTCAAGGTGGAGCAACTGCTCGCGTCAGTCATCGAAGGCAGCAAGGGCATACATGTAGGGTCCAGATTCCCAAATAGATCAACGAATCCATTGAGATCCCTTGAGGATCGAACGCAAAAGGGCCGTTTGCACTTGGATTTGCAGCTGCCGTCTGGGCCTTGCAGTACAATTGAGCAAGCACATTAGGCTGCTTGGCTGTCACAGTCTTGGGTCTCAGCAGGAGCAGCTGACGCTGAGGTAGCAGAAACACCTTGCAAAATGTATTAAAAACAGCTTGAAAGGTTCGTTGAGGACGCAAATTCCAGCAAGAGAGTCTCAGGCAATGTGGAGTCCTTTTTTGTCATGTCCGTTCCAGTATGTCACGCATGCATTTACCACCAGTGGACAAAACGAGGTCTTACGCAGACCAACTTGTCTGGCCTTGTGGTTCTGCAGATGCAGGCGTCGGTCCAGTGCGAGGAGCCCCAAAGGGCAAACTAACCCCAGGGGGTGCCACATGTGGTGGTGCCACCTGCGGTGGTGCCCCCAGTGGTGGTGCCCCCAGTGGCGGCACCACGCCAAACGGAGGTGGGCGAGCCGCATCATCAAACAAGCTGGACACATCACCACCACTGCTAGGCATGGAAGCTTCTCCATTCCCGGATGGCTGAGCCACAGCCTCAAAGCAATTCCACAGCAATTATTTCCACTGAACATTTGAATCAGCTTGCATATTGCATCGGATCAAGCGTATACAAGCCCAGAGACCAAATACCCTCCAAGCTTGTGACTGGTGCTAGATTCAAACTCGTGCTTGGGAACAAGCTGGTGCTGCCCAAAGGCCTGTGCAAAAAGTTGCAAATGTCTTCCGCCCTGTCTGCAGTCAAGGTGGAGCAACTGCTCGCGCCAACCATGAAGGATGAAAGAAGGCAGCAAAGGCATGCATGCTGGGTTAACCAATACCATTGAGATCCTTTGAGAATCGAACGCAGAAGGACCATTTGCAGTTGGATTTGTAGCTGCCATCTGGGCCTTGCAGTATGATTGAGCAAGCACATTAGGCTGCTTGGCTGTCAGAGTCTTGGGTCCCAGCGGGAGCAGCTGAGGCTGACGTAGCAGAAATGCCTTTCAAAACGGATGGATCAAAACAGCTTGAAAGGTTCGTTGAGGACGCAAATTCCAGCAAGAGAGTCTCAGGCAATGTGGAGTCCTTTTTTGTCATGTCCGTTCCAGTATGTCACGCATGCATTTACCACCAGTGGACAAAACGAGGTCTTACGCAGACCAACTTGTCTGGCCTTGTGGTTCTGCAGATGCAGGCGTCGGTCCAGTGGGAGGAGCCCCAAAGGGCAAACTAACCCCAGGGGGTGCCACATGTGGTGGTGCCACCTGCGGTGGTGCCCCCAGTGGTGGTGCCCCCAGTGGCGGCACCACGCCAAACGGAGGTGGGCGAGCCGCATCATCAAACAAGCTGGACACATCACCACCACTGCTAGGCATGGAAGCTTCTCCATTCCCGGATGGCTGAGCCACAGCCTCAAAGCAATTCCACAGCAATTATCTCCACTGAACATTTGAATCAGCTTGCATATTGCATCGGATCAAGCGTATACAAGCCCAGAGACCAAATACCCTCCAAGCTTGTGACTGGTGCTAGGTTCGAACTCGTGCTTGGGAACAAGCTGGTGCTGCCCAAAGGCCTGTGCAAAAAGTTGCAAATGTCTTCCACCCTGTCTGCAGTCAAGGTGGAGCAACTGCTCGCGCCAACCATGAAGGATGAAAGAAGGCAGCAAAGGCATGCATGCTGGGTTAACCAATACCGTTGAGATCCTTTGAGAATCGAACGCAGAAGGACCATTCGCAGTTGGATTTGTAGCTGCCATCTGGGCCTTGCAGTATGATTGAGCAAGCACATTAGGCTGCTTGGCTGTCAGAGTCTTGGGTCCCAGCGGGAGCAGCTGAGGCTGACGTAGCAGAAATGCCTTTCAAAACGGATGGATCAAAACAGCTTGAAAGGTTCGTTGAGGACGCAAATTCCAGCAAGAGAGTCTCAGGCAATGTGGAGTCCTTTTTTGTCATGTCCGTTCGAGTATGTCACGCATGCATTTACCACCAGTGGACAAAACGAGGTCTTATGCAGACCAACTTGTCTGGCCTTGTGGTTCTGCAGATGCAGGCGTCGGTCCAGTGGGAGGAGCCCCAAAGGGCAAACCAACCCCAGGGGGTGCCACATGTGGTGGTGCCACCTGCGGTGGTGCCCCCAGTGGTGGTGCCCCCAGTGGCGGCACCACGCCAAACGGAGGTGGGCGAGCCGCATCATCAAACAAGCTGGACACATCACCACCACTGCTAGGCATGGAAGCTTCTCCATTCCCGGATGGCTGAGCCACAGCCTCAAAGCAATTCCACAGCAATTATCTCCACTGAACATTTGAATCAGCTTGCATGTTGCATCGGATCAAGCGTATACAAGCCCAGAGACCAAATACCCTCCAAGCTTGTGACTGGTGCTAGATTCAAACTCGCGCTTGGGAACAAGCTGGTGCTGCCCAAAGGCCTGTGCAAAATGTCTTGCCACACAGTCTTCAGTCAAGGTGGAGCAACTGCTCGTGCCAACCATGAAGGATGAAAGAAGGCAGCAAAGGCATGCATGCTGGGTTAACCAATACCATTGAGATCCTTTGAGGATCGAACGCAGAAGGACCATTTGCAGTTGGATTTGTAGCTGCCGTCTGGGCCTTGCAGTGGATTGAGCAAGCACATCAGGCTGCTTTGGCTACTAGAGACTTGGGTCCCAGCGGGGACAGCTGACGCTGATGTAGCACCAACGCCTGAAAGGTTCCTTGTACTCAGCAATGTACTTTGGTTTTAGTATGGGATTCTGCAGGTGCTGGCCCCAGAAGGAAACCAAATCATGTTGTATGTTTCGCGAAAGTCTTGTCATTATGACTGCGTTTGGAGAAAAAAAGGCTGTCTTTCTGAGACATATGTGATATGTGCATGTATGTATAGATGGTGTTAACTAGAGAAAAAGGAAAGCAGGCATGATGTGCCAACAATCACCACCACCACCACCACAACAAGAAGAAGACGAAGAAGAACATGAATAGGAACAACAAGAACAACAATATTGTTTAAGAACAATAGCAACAAGAACAACGAGAACAAGAGAACAAGAGAACAAGAACATACTATTACTAGAACCAGAAGATTAGGAAGAACAAGGCAGAGGGGACAAGTAGACAAAGTGATAAGCCATGAAAGCTACGAAGGCCAAAGACCTTGCAGACCGCAAAAGCTATGGAAGCAGCGCAAAACCATGAAAGGCACAAGAAGAATGGTCAAAACCCAATCCACATGAGGCTGAATGGTAAAACAATATATATATATATATATATATACACAGTAAAAGCCAAAATGTATGCAGTACACCAAAGACGTCGAAAAACGCAAAAGTTTCCACCGCAAGCCAGGAAAGATCAGGAAAGAATGAAAGTGTTGCAAGAAGAATGCTAGGACCTGGTGACCTGGTTTCGTTTGTTGGACAAATGCTCCGAAAATGGCAGAAGCCGCTGGGCTTGGCCGTATCAAGATGGACGGAAAGCTGTCACAATTGGTGGAATTGCGATAATTGCTGTCTTGGATATTGAAGGTGCATTGCTCACACACAACATCAGCATTCTGATTATCATCAATGCCGGCACTTGTATCACTGGTCATCAAATGACCCAGTCAATTCTATCCAGTGCTTCGCACTGTCCAACTCCAAGAAATCAGAAGACCTCGCCTGGTGCTGTTTGTGGAGAGCCCAAATCCAAGCTCGCTTTCCTAAGGGCACATGGCATTGCTTTGAGAGCATGATTCCAACATCAAAAATCAGACCATCAATTGCTCCTTGGGCCCTCAGGCCCCAACGGAAAAAACATCGAAAAAAATCAGAATGCGCACTGGGTGCTACAGAGAGCCATGGGAATGCCGATCAATGTGTCGTACTGAACTGACGCTTGCTTGCTTCACAGAAAACAAAAAATATCTGCATCTTACTGAGGAACGAAATCAACTGCAACTGAAGATATCTATGTACTTCTGCCAAACTTTGCGTGTAGGAAGTTTCACTCCAAAACCTCTGGCTAAAGATGAAGTGGCTGCAAAATGTTGCAAAGTTCAGGGCCTATCTGGGCCTGTTTGAGCTAGGAACGTGAGTCATGACATCTACGTAACACGTGAAGCCAACAGCTCCAGGTCACAGTGACAATTTGCATTGCAGAAACCTGGCCCCAGCTTTCTACACGCCTTCTACACCTGCCATCAGGACGTTTAAGATGTGTATCTATGTTGATCTTTGGTGTGTGTATATATATATATAACTGTATATAGCCTGAGCAATGTTGTGGCTATAAGGCCTGTTGCAATCGTCATGATGACGGTAAGTAAAGTCTGTAAATCCGACCAACCCATTTTCATTGGCCCTGGCATGTAGTCTTTTGCATTCATGTTTAACAAGTGTGTCGTTCTTTCCTGCTGATACGAAACCTATTCGCACACCGCAGTACACGATGGCATATTTCCTGTCAATCCCCCTTCTAGTTGTAGCAATGTTTTAAGCAAACTTGCACTCTCAGGGGCCTTTCGCCTGAGTCACTAGTCACTAACCATGTCGCCATCGCAGAAACCTTGGACAGCTCATTATCAGCGGGACTGGACTACTTTGAGCCCATGCCGAAACTCTCCCTTGGAAAGGAATGAGAGGATCTTCAAAACATAGAAGGCGCATTGCAAAATACCAAAATACAGGTGAAACAAACCCTGCTCCAGGGGTCGCAAGCGCCGCTGGAATAGAGAGACATGACAACCTCGCCCTCAAAGCCCCTCAAGGCTAGGGTCAAACAACTCCTGAAAGCCTTCGTCGGCCATCTTGCGGCATGCCTGCACGAGGGCAAAAGGGCCTGATCATGGGGAGGGAGGGAGGGAGGGAGGGAGCAGTGGTCTCAAAAGTTGCGTTTCAACAGAAGAATGATTGTCACAATTACGAGTTTTCATGGACAACCCGGTGCTACAGTGGATTGTGAAAACACTGGCCCTATGGCTTCAAAAATCCACCCTATAATTGCAGGCAGTGTGTGAGTGTGTGTGCGGACAGCATCCTAGGAGGAACTTCATAGCTGTCATTTCTTGTCTCCTGCTGGATTGTGGTCGTTGGGCTTCTTGGGGGCAGACAAGACAGCATAGAATCCTTGTCTGGAATGCTCTTGAGTTCATGCGTTTTCCACGTGAGTAATTCCCAGCTTACTCCTAGCTGGTTTAATGGCGACTTTGTAATAGTGATTTAACGGATATTGACTGGGGATTCAATGGGGATTCAATGGGGATTGGAAGTGTATTTACCGCAATGCAGATTCTGGACCAAATTAATGAGATGCAAATCTTGCCTCTTCGATCGCGTCCATGCGCTCCTGCAGGGTCTCCTGACTCCTCAGCCGGGATTGGGTCAAGCCTTGAAAAAACCGGGGATTGACTGGTCATGTTTGGTCATTTTTCATATTTTCTATGATCCATATCTCGTTTTATATATATATACATAGTTTTGAAATGTTTTGAATAGATTTTGACCCATATCCGCATACGCTGTTGTAGGCTCACCGGCAACACTCTGAAAAATCTGAAAGGTAAGGTCCACACTCTTGAACTGGCACGATTCGCGGGCTGGTTTCCTTCAAAAGATGCGAGTTTGCTGATGGCAAGGCTTGCCGCAGACTCAACTGAGGCCCCAAGCAGCCGTCTGCGGAAACGTAGCTGGAGCCATGGCAGAGGACACAGCCTACCCGAAGTGACGAGAACAAAAGGATTTCGGCTACTTCAGCGCTACATTTTTCGTGCTTTACTTTTGCGCCACGCCTCGCGAAAGTCGGACTGGGTGAGAAAATTGGCAGCTCTCATTGATAGTACCTTGTTGTGAGAGCTGGTTTTGTCTCAAAATTGGGACTTTTGTTAATGCTTAATGATTGCTTAATGCCATTTAATGCCCATGATTAAGGGGAAAATAACGTGACGGGCCCAAGATGTGCCTGATTCCGTGATCTCCACTTGCTGATGCAGGCCTCGCTATGCCAGAAATTTCCTGTGCCTGTGCAATCTGTGAGTGGAAGCTGGGGAGCAAACCTGTGCAACTTCACGGACCCGATAGCCACCTCCAAGGTTGCTCAGCAGATTGGTAACCATGAGCAGGATGATATCAGGATGATGTCAGGATGATATCAGGATGGTATCAGGATGCCTTGAGCCTTGTATAGCCTTGAACTGAGTTGAGGGCACTCAGTGAACATGGTACTATACTTTGCAGTGGCATCACAGTATTATTACAGGCGAAAATGCTGCATCTGCTGCTGGGAATGAGTCTAAAGTCGTCGGCCTTGTCTCTTGCCTGATGACATATTGCATACATGTTGTGGGTCCACGTGTAAGATAACCTATGTATCCTAACATTACACATACGCCAAACTCAATCTCAGCCACGCCTGGGAGGTGTACACTCAAATCGTCAGCACTGAGTTGACCATCGCAATCGACGTCCAAGTACAGAAAGGCCAAGTAGAGTACATCGCTCCATCCCGCCTGGCATCCATCATGTCATCATATGTCGTCATGTTAGCAGAGTGCCCTTTTCTGTTTGTCGGTCTCCGTGATTCTGTTGCTTCTGTTCATCCCATTGCCATTGATGGCGACAGTGTCTCTGTGACAGCATCAGAATGGCATTGATTTTGCTCTTCCTTTTGCTGTTGACCTTTGTGTGGGTGTGAGTGTACTTATGAGAGTGCATCTGTGCGTTTTGTGTTTCGCAATTCCAGTCTTTGTACAGAACTGCAGAGCAACCTGCGAGGTCAAAGCTGAAAATGAAGCTACACTCACCTCAGCGTCTTCACACCATAGCTGGCTAAGGTCCACCACAAATAGCAATTTGGCAGCAACTCTTGCACGCTCTGTTTGAGGACAGCACCAGTTGAGCCGCCAGCCTCTCAATGTATCCACTTGTTGTACCTCCATCCTGACGAACAAAGTCCTGCGAGACGTTGACGCTTTGCAAAACACACCAAGGTGTCCAGGCCGGTTTGATTTGGAAGCATGGGGGAGGCGGAATCATCAAACATCCACTTACTGGCCTCTTAATTAGAGGTGAAAACCAGGGTACCATTATTAGGGTTTTACTCATTGCCAGAGAATCGTCCTTCACGGACTGTAGCTCCATCAGCTCTGGCTCAGTGAAGGCCCGAGCAATGGCAAGCCAACCTGGATTGCTAGTACACATGGGACTTGTAAGGTGGATCAAACGTGAAAAATATAGTGGTAAATGACCCAAAGTCCGGAAACTAATAGAACTGATATGAACTGATCCAGGAAAATACTAGAGTCAAGTCAAAAAACATTTGAAAACATGAATGTTGTCAAAACATGTTGGAAGCCACGGGTTGGTTATACGCTACACAGCGTTTTTCGGCATGGTATCCTCAACAGCCAATGTGGTAGGAAAGCGTGAGAGAAGCCAGTCATTTTCGCCACATGATAGGTGCCCCAAGGACATGTGTGGCACCCCTCAATTTTCATTCTTTGGGCATCCATCTTTCTACAACAAAAGACACACCTCGATCAATTTTCATTTTGTTGCGTCCAAGGCATTTGTGACTGTGACACCCTTCAGTTTTCATTTTGTTTGAGCAACACGTTCCACACAGTATGTATGAACCAAAGCCCTTTCAGCAGCATGCACCCCTACTTCCAGTGAACTATCAAGTTTCAACCCTGGTGACGGGCGACAAACCCCAGAACCCGCACTAGAACCTCAGGAACCTCCGGAATCCAAACTAAAACCAAAAGCCCAGGCCGGGAAACACTGCATGATAAGGATCCTTATAATGCGAACCTTCCACAACCTCCGAACCTCCCCTGAACCCGCACCGAAAGCCGCACTGAAACGTACTGGGCTGAGACCCCGAACCCAACGCTGTTGAAAAAAGAACTGCATTTGCCGCTGGACAAAGAGTGCCCAAAGACATGACACTGTGCAATGTGCAGCAGTGCCTTCAAGTCTGGCCTTTGTGATGTTGTGCAGATCCAGTGGCGTTTTCTCACATGTGTCTGCTTTTCTGGAGATATGCCACAGAAGTCCTTGTACAAAAGGTGTTAAAAGGTTAGTTACTTACATATTACATATTCTCAGAACTTGACAGAGTTCCCTGACCCGGGCAGTTGACTCTGATTTACTAACTCGGATTTCCTCGGTCCAAGGTCTCCTGACTTTGTCTGTCATGATAAATCTGATGGATTTTGATATGATGATAAGTGATATGTGAATAATTATGAATCATGTATGTATGTATATATATATGTATGTATATATATATATATTACATGAATCAATATACGAGTACGATATTGCCTAAATCAAGACATCTGCAACCTGAGAAAACATGGCAGAAGTGCAAAGTCTCTGGAAGCTGTCCAAAGTATTCCACCTCGAGGCAGAAGAGACCAACGGAACCACCCCACCACCAACTGCTCTCAACTCTGAACCTGGCCTCAGCAGCGGATCCTGCATGCCGGCTGTGGAGAAAAACCTACCACTGGGCGAACCAATCTGAGGCAATCGGATTGAAACCGTTCCTAATGACAGCATATGATAGATATAATGATATAATTATATGATCGTAGTATATCCCAGTCTCTCCAATGACAAGTCTCCAATGACAAGTGATAGCATGTGACACGGCATGTGATAGCCTGAATTCACCGCCCTGTAGAAAGTGCGAAGAACTCGTGGCAAGAAAGGGATGGTTCAGCCCATGGGCTGGTGACAGTCTCCTGGCCTTGGAAATTGGCGACGATCTATGCTCAACAGATATCAACAGATGATATCAATGGACGCGGATGGACAATATCGAGTGCTGAAGGGCATGATGATTCATTAAATGACGTTACTAGGTTTCAACCTGCTACTCGTGAAGGAAGGACCAAGACTACCAAAATCTTGAGGAGTGAACAGGGTCCGGCTTGATCAGGGCCAGGATAAAGTCTCTTGCGGAATGAGACAGCTCAGTATTCCAGACCTGTTCGTTCTACATGCACAGAGTCTCACATATCAGCAACATAGCACGAGCTTTGGCAAATTTGGGCTCCACTTCAGAACTTCAGGCTGCCTTGGTGTCGGTGTTGACCGAACCGAAAGCCGCCAAGCGCATCACCTGTCAAATGATGCCTGTGTGTGTGTGATCTGCAATGGCCTTAGATTGTCGAAGATTGAAAAAGCTTCAAGCATCATCAAGCATCATCAAGCATCATCAAGAATCATCAAGAATCATCAAGAATCATCAAATTAAATATCAAAGTACATCAAAGTACCCAACCAATATTTACACGGCGCTGTTGGCACCTCCTCCTCTCTTTTCCAGACATCTGTAATGCTCAAGGCCAGGTGGAAAGGGCTGTGACCTCAGGCAATTGCGCGACATCCTGATCTGACAATCCGTCATCCAACGTCTAAGGTGGCAGCCGGTGAGCAACAAATAGGTGATGACTCCCACACTGGCAAGGCGAGATGACTCGGATGCGGATCATCATTTTGATCATAATGGATCATAGATGATCATACATTGTAGGTGTATATATCCAATGCTGTTGGGCCATGCTTGGCCATCATAACAGCATGCCCACCTCCACATATCGCTCTTCCCCCCTTGTAGCTCATCCGCGACGATTTCCGCCCCCTTCACGGGTGGATTCCTCGGACAGACCACAGGGTCACCATGGGTCACCATGGGTCACCATGGGTCACCATGGGTCACCATTCACACTGGGAAGGCAGCAATTCAGGCGGAGCATACCAAAGCCTGGCCAGGTGAGGATCACAATACCAACGTGACCTTGCAATCATGGGCCCCCCAACAAAAAATTGGCTCTACATTCCAGCTGCTAGAGAACCCAAGATAGTGGTACTTGGGGGTGCATCCCACTTAGTAAATGGGTTATAATTCATATATAATCCATCAAATCCCATTATAAGTGGGGAGTATCTATAACCCTATTTGGAACCGCAGAGCTACGCCAAATGCTCGGTGCTTCACCATGGCAGGATGACGATCCAACACCTTCCGGAGGTATCGCTGGTGGTGGCCCTGGCTGCTCAACCTGGGCGGTAATCCACACCTTTCTGCTTCATCTTGGAGTTCATCCCCTGCAAAATATCTAAGTCTGTATATAACTATAGACAAGATAATGTGTATAAATATGTATATATATATATATACATACTTGTGTTTTAGAGATGTTTGCATGGAATGTCTTTTCTCTCCACCTCTTTTGTTGGAAAGTTGTTGCGCTCGAGTCATTGTTGCCTTTTGTCATAGCTTCTTCATGTCAAGCTGCGTCCATCTATCAAATTGGTTGGCCTTTAGCTCTGCGTACATAATTGCTGATGGCTGTTTTGGTTACGCAACATACCCAGCTTGAAGACCCAATGGCTTGGTGTCACAGACTGATGGTGTCTCTGAAAATGGAGGTGTCTCCTTTTAACTGCTCGCTGGCTCGCTCTCAACTGTATCACTGTACATTTCAGCAGCTCTCTGTGCATAGTCTTTGCACCTCTGTACAAGTTAATGCAACAGATGCGCTGGACGCGGCCAGCATGCAGCTTACCTATAGCTGCACAATCTATATATATCTAGTCCATAACAATCAAATGCCAGCTGCTTCAAGACTTGAAGCTTGGGTTGCTTTGATGGCAATTGTTGTTGTCCTTGAAGTATATGTTTAACCTGAAAACCACGGTATGACGGCGGCAATTTGCGAGCCATCCTTGAAGATCGAGACACGCCGCCAGAAGATGACGCGAATCTTGCGCGTCTGCTGTGGCGCACATTGCCTTTGGAAGCCTCCCATGTCTTGTTTTGGCCTTTGCGCAGCTGATAGCAGGTCACAAATGAATCTGTCTCAAGTGGAGAATCATTGAGGGATGGGCAGCACAATGGACACCAGCAGTCTTGTGTGTAGACCCTCTCTTCATCAAAGCATCTTTGATCGTAGCGAAGAATTTTGTGTCTTGCTGCCAAGAAGTCCTTGTCCCAGGCATGACCGACCTTTGGAATCTGCCCGGAGAAGGTGAAAAAGGCTGTTGGCCAACCTGCCCAAAGATCCTCTCCAAAAGCTTCAGTCAAGGCTGGATCTATCCCGGACTTCTCCAAGATCCTCTTCTGACACAAGGACGCACCTGCACGCGCCAACAATGCCAGCTCGATCGCCGCCTGCGACAACTTCAGTCGTGCTTCTTCCAAGGGAAGAAGGCCTGTAGCACTTTGAATGTTGTTAGCTCGCAATATGCAACAGATCCGGCCAAGATCTAAGTCTTCCTGAAGTGGACGAGCATTCACTTCGGAGCAAGCGTGGAAAAAGTTCAAGGCCGAGACGAGAGCATCGTCCCCGTTGGGCAATTGTTGTTGTGGGTTTGCTCCGTGCTGTAGCAAGAGATTTATCTCCTTGCTCAGACCACGCCTACAGGCAGTGAGCAGTGGAGTGTAGCCATCATTAGAGGGGCTGTTAACGCAAGCACCACCTCGAAGCAGCAAACTCATGAAGCTTTGAATGACAAAAGAATGGGGATTCTTGAGCAACAACTCCAACATGTTGTCGCCATCATAGTGGAAGTCCAGCTCTCCGTACAGAAGGGCCTGCTGGGAATCCCGGCTGAGCATGTCGAAACTAAACCAAAGGTCGCCCTTGAAATTTAGGCTCATGTCCTTGCTGCACTTTTTCACGTCAGTGGCTTCAACCGCCAGCGCAATGAGTTCCACCGTTTCGGCCTCTGCTCCAACCAACTCCTTGATGAGACCTCTATTGTTTAGCACCATGCCACCATGAATCAGCCGCAACTGCCACTTTCGAATGCCCAGAGCTTCACTCACCTTTTGCCTCAGCAGCGCTATGGGTTCCTCAGCACCAAGCAACAAATCCACCTGGCGCCCGGACATGGTTGTGGCTCGGACCTGAAGTTCTGCCATGGCGGCACTGCCAGTGTTTTCCACTGTCTAAGGCCTTCTGTGCTTGAGCCAATTTCTATGATAAATCGATACTACAGCAACAACGCGATAGGGAACCATAAATTGCAAAGAAACCCTTGAAAAATAGATATTGAAATCATTCCTTGAAAAACCTTCCCCTCGGAATACCTCAGAGTCGTAGCACCGCTTTCGCGCTGGCCGGTCCTTGCGGTCCACCCTCACAGGGCATCCATTAACATGTGCCACTCAAGTACCCCAACCACTGCAGCCCAGCCAAAGTCGGCCAGCTTGATGAGTGGTGCCTCCACACAGCATGGCTTACAACTTATGTAAGCAAAAAAAACAACAGCATGGAAGGGTAAGTTCTCCGACCACAAGAAAACTGTCTTCCAGGGATTGTTTTGAATACAAGTTGAGATGCTTCACAAGATGAAAAGGTGTCTGAAGTCATTTTTATCTAGATTAGGCAGCTGTCAAGGTCTCCAAGAGTGGGTTATAGCTAGCCTAACATGCCTAACTCATGTTTCGAATACTTTATGTCTATAAGTCTATATCCACCCACCCCGGCCTTAGCCATGGCCGGGGCGGCGCCTGGGACCACCTTTGGTGTGGACTTCAACCGGCTCTTGGAGCTGCCACGAAACGTGCCAAACCGGCTCTTGGAGCTGCCAAACTATGGGCTCTGGCAGGCCAAGTCTTTCCTTTTCTACCGGCCCGCAACTGCCGGATGCTCCCTTCAAACCCTCCAAGCGCTCCGAAACGTTCAAACCGGCTCTTGGAGCTGCCACGAAACTAAACCTGCTAAACCGGCTCTTGGAGCTGCCAAACTATGGGCTGTGGCAGGCCAAGTCTTTCCTTTTAAGCGCTCCGAAACTTCCAAACTGGCTCCTGGAGCTGCCACGAAACCTGCCAAACCAAACTATGGGCTGTGGCAGGCCAAGTCTTTCCTTGTCTACCGGCCCGAAACTGCCGGATGCTCCCTTCAAACCCTCCAAACGCTCCGAAACTTCCAAACCGGCTCTTGGAGCTGCCACGAAACCGGCCAAACCGGCTCTTGGAGCTGCCAAACTATGGGCTGTGGCAGGCCACGTCTTTCCTTTTCTACCGGCCCGAAACTGCCGGATGCTCCCGTCAAACCCTCCAAACGCTCCGAAACTTCCAAACCGGCTCCTGGAGCTGCCACGAAACCTGCCAAACCGGCTCTTGGAGCTGCCAAACTATGGGCTCTGGCAGGCCAAGTCTTTCCTTTTCTACCGGCCCGCAACTGCCGGATGCTCCCTTCAAACCCTCCAAACGCTCCGAAACTTCCAAACCGGCTCTTGGAGCTGCCACAAAACCTGCCACACCGGCTCTTGGAGCTGCCAAACTATGGGCTGTGGCAGGCCAAGTCTTTCCTTTTCTACCGGCCCGAAACTGCCAGAAGCAGACGGCAACCAGGACAACCTGGAATGGTCACTTGAACTCGCACTTCGGGGTCAAGTTGGAGGGCATCTGGAAACGAGTTCTGCTGCGAATCCTGCCCACTTTCAAGGGTTGAAGAAAAACATGTACATAACTTTTCAAGCTACATTTCATCCCCATTTCTCCCAATCATCCCACAAGATACATATGATCCCAACTTGTCTTGGTTTCATTCCTCAATTTTTGTTGCATTCATCCCAAAACTGTGTTAATAAAAAAAACACCAACCTAAGAATTTTGCAACATCAGTCATCATCTAAGTTGGACCTCCCACAGACACCGTGGCAGCCATGGCACATCCAGCGCCACTTGCATCGCTGTGGGAGCGCCAGGAGAGGCGCCCAGCAAGCTTAAAAAGGGGGGGGGTCGGCGGCACCATGGGCGCTAGCCCATTCTATACATAATCCAGCGATGCCTCGCCGTTTCGTGGTGTTGCTAAGCGCATAGCTTTAGCTACCCGGGGGCGCGCCGGTGCCGCCGACCTTTTTGAAAATCCTTCAGGGTGCTGGGGTTTTCACGTTTTTGGGGGTTCTGGGTGGGAAAAAAGATGGTAAAATTCGAAGATGTGTTTTGGAGGTCCTTGTTGGGCGTTTTTTTTGGTCACTTTTTGGTTGATTTTTCATGTTTTTTTGGTGCTGTCCACGCGTAAAATTCGTGTAATTTACAATGTTTTTGTGCCTTTGGCATCCAAAAAAAGCTTGTGACAACATGCTGGAAACTGCGTAAATACCAGTGTTTTTGCTAGGCCCGGGCCACATGATTTTTGCTAGCAGAGGCTCAAAACCTCATAAATACCGTGGTTTTGCGCTGACGCGGAGCCAAAAACATCGGTATTTACGGTGTTTTTTGTTCCGAGAACGTGAAAAATCGCGTAAACACCGCCTATTTGACGCTTTTTGGGGGTTTGCAAAAACCGTCGATTTGACGATTTTGGGGGGTTTGCAAAAAGTACCAACTACAAAGATAACAACGACAACGACAACAGGACCAAGCAGCAACAGCTATAACAACAATAACAACAACAACGACGACGACGACAATGACGATGACGACAACGAAGATGCAGCTCGCAGCATGTCATGTCCGCAAGTTCAGATGAAATCCCCCTCTCTCTTTCCCTCCCCCGACCCCTACAGGCATCGCCGGTGTGCGAAGCTCTACAATTATATATATATATAAATATATATATATGTATAACATATACATATGTAGCTTGACTACATTTCCACAGACTTGAAGGAGATAGAGACACCTGTCAATTCACTTCCTGATTGCCTGCTGATTTCGTGAGGCATCTGAAACACCGTAAAGAAGCAGATTCTCGGGCTTGACCTGAGTTGTGTACACGAGACACTAGCGTCACGATGCGAAAAGTGGATGCAAACCAGTTGGGTGGTTGTTTGGTGCGGTAGCAAAAGTGAATGAGTACAAGCGCGGAAACTCAATCGAAATGAGCCAAGACTTGGTTTCAAACATCACGATGCTCAACGCCACACTCCACCCTTAGTCTTTACAAATGTGGCTGAAGCCAAGCTCAGATATGAAAATGCTGCGTGGGTTCCCTGGCGATTTCGGTTACAGCGAAAAATGAAAGAAAAAACTTTTCTGGCTGTGAATCTATGATCGGGGGATATTCATTAACCCTTTCAGGTGGATGTTTTGCTTTGACCGAAATACCGAAATCAATGAGTCAAACTCTGTGCATCTCCTCACTCTCCTTGGTGTTGGACAGATGCCGCAAAGCCAGCCTATCAGCTGCGCAGCGATTCTTCAAGGAGTACGTTGTGATCGTTGTGACAGGCTGACACGACTTGTCGCATGATCTGCGCCACGAAGGTCTCCAGCATGCAACACCCATTGCTGGAGGCATACAACTCGTAAATGTCCCCGCCATTGCCTCAGCAATGTCCATCCACAATATGTCCATCCTCAAAACATCTCAAAACATTTCAAAACCCTCAAAGCCTTTGAGCTTCCTACAGTATTCCAGTACCATCACATCTTCATGTACGCCACCCTTGCAAGGATTACTGTACCCCATTAGGTCCAACATCAGATGCAGGAAATCCCACATCAGAGCCGTGAAACCATATGATTTTTGTCAAGCCGAAACAAGCAAGCAGCAACTCCGCTCCTCAAAGCTTTCCAATAGCCGAATGATATGCGGATGCACACCGCAGGTCACGAGAGCCTTTGTTGAGAAGAGTCAACAAACACGACGTCAAAGTAGCAAAGTTAATTCCGGAGCATATCAAAGCTATTCGTTATGTCGTCTCAGGGACTCGGGGCCTTCAGTTCATTTTTGAACATCAACGTCCCTCTCTGGTTAAAGCGCTTCAGCCTGGCACATGAAGACCCCCACACTGACAAGACTCGGGTGTTTTATACAACCCCTTCATACATTTCATACCCCTTCTGCAAAACAAGACCGGAGGGCGCAACTTGGCGGCCGCCACTAGCGGCTTCAGCATGTTCCGCACCTGGTCGGATCTCACTTTTCACACGACGGTTCATTCAGGTCATGCGGGTCAAAACTTGCTCGAAAAGCGTCCCACCTGAGAGTGCACTGCGCTTTGGCCTCACATTTGGATGTTCAAATATTCAAAGAAATTCAAAGATCTACCCGCCATCGCAAACGCTCCTGCACGCATCAGAGCTTCCTTTCTGCGCCAAAGCAAGTGCCTCTCGGACCAATTGGAATTCGTTTGGGATCCATTTTACAAACAAGCAAAGAGCTGTGAAGTTCCGTCGAGGTTTATCATGCACACTCAGTCGTTCCTTGAAGACAGTGGCGGTTTGTCCAGAGCCCAGTTCAGATCCCAAAGAATAGCGAGTTCTCCAACTTGCAACTGGCCTGCCTGACGCACTCACAAGAAATCATAGCATGCTTGGATGGTTGCGACAAGTCTTCAAGTGGTGTCCATCATACCTGATGGAACAACTGACAACTGGTGATGGGGATGGTGCGAGAGCATGAAATAAGAACAAGAGTGGCATCTCTGATGCAATTATGTGATTGACATCAACACGTATATAGGATCACGAAGCATGTCAGCCTCGAGATTTAAGAATAAAGAACATCTCTTACCACGTCTGGACTTTCCCTTTTTCTACCAAACACGTTCTCTCCCTTCTTGCGAAGCTTTGCGAAACATGAGGTACCCAAAACGCCTGGCGATCCATGCAGAATGGCAAAGTGATGATGGGATGGCAGCGCCTGACAACGTCGTTGGAAATCTACCGCAACAGATCCAGGGCCTTGTAAATCTGGCCTGATAGTCAAAGGATTCGGTTCCAATCGGCGCCTTGTGTCGCATCGTGCAAAGTTGCGCCAAAGACATTACGTTTATACTCGTAATGTTTATCTGTATAGATACATGTATATTGTATACACAATGTAATACATAATTTATAATACGTAAATCAATTGACCTTGTCTTCGTGACAGTTCCTCATTTTATCACAGCAAACGGAGTCCTCATCTTTGTGCGCAAGCACCTGGGAAAGATCTTGGGACCACTTGCAAACAGCCCTCCGCCCCATGAAAAGTGGCACGGATGGGATTGAGATGTGAAAACCAGGCGCTGACCAATCAATACCATCTGAAGCTATCTGAAGTTCAATATAAAATGTTGCCAAAATGTCATATTGGGATATATTGGGTGTTTAATCCACTTCTTGGCAGACCGCTTTCCATGTTAGCACCGATTGCCTAAGCCCCGAACGTTCCATGAATTGCATGTCTGGCCAGAAGAACAGTCCTGGATGTCCTGCCAACAAGCCTGGAACTTCGGACGGATAGTTAGCTCCTGAGCAAAGATGGTGTCAAGTTGACAGTGTCAAGTTGACAGTGTCAAGTTGACAGTGTCAAGTTGACAGTGCCAAGTTCAAATCAACTGAGGATTGTGAGGGACATAGACGCACATAGAAGGCACTGTTGGAAAATGTCGGAAATTGTTGGAAATTTGGGCCATGTGTTTGAATGTGTTTGAGTGACATTGGACCACATTCCAGCCTATCTTGATCCTGACTAGGGCCTGGGTTACTTCCTCCTAGGCTGTGTTTAGATAAAG